GATTTCTTCTAGTATTTTGTACTTTTTGTATTGGCTGTAATTATAATCCAATTATGAATTATCTATTTTGTTTGACATTGGTAATGGGATGAGATCTTGTAATGTAATCCAATTTTGGGTTATCACTTTGAATGAAATTTATGTCTTTATTTTTATGCGAAATTAAAGCTTCAATAATATAATTGTAATTCATAATAACTTTATTTTTGAGTATTTACAAATGACATTGTGCTTACTTCATTGCTGGAAGCCACAAAATACTTGAAATTGTAGCAAAAGAAGACACCTAACTTGTTGCAGAAGATTTTGATTGCCCTTCCAGGTAAAAAAAATGTGTAACTTTTAAGTTTTGGTAGCTTCATTGAATAATTGAATATTTTTTAGTTGATCTGAGAATTCTATGTTATATTAATATTATGTTTGATATCAGTTACTTGTTATTAATATCATGGTTAACTATATGTCTATAATATCTTCACTTGTAGCATTTTGCTGCAGTTATTTTGAGGATAAAAGAGCTTAACTCCTTTACTCCTATGTCTAGCAAGTTGCCTAAATAGTGAATTGTAATAGTAAAAACTCAACTCATTGTTGGTAATTAATCTCTTGTGCAATTATTTTAACACATTCTTTCTTTCTTTAGATTGAATACAATTTTGCCACAAAATTTTCTGAGCTTACTGAGTCTCCATGTCATAGTAAGTTATATCTTGTTGATTTGCTTTGGATGGGAAACTGTAATCCATTATGGCTTTACATGTGTTAGTGGATGCTAATTTCATTGTTTGCATGAATGAAGAGTCTATGGTGGACGAGAAGAAAAGTCCCAAACATACAAAACTGTAAAAGCCCAGGCAGCCAATTTATAAATGTTGTCTATTGTTGCATAAATGTCCAAGATACAGTTGAAGGAAAAACCAGGGAGGCAACAACAAAGGTTTAAATTTCTACAAGAAAATTTGTGGCCCAGGCAAATGCACCTTGCTTCGTCTCCTCATAATAATGGTATTAATCACTTTAAAGAGATATTAATGGGTATTACCTTCACAATTAAAAGTTATTTATTAGCTATTACTATTTCACCTTCACAAGAAAAATAGCTAGTGTTGATTATCTTACTATTCTGCCAATTTTGTTTTTTGCTTTTATTGTCATTTTACTTGCTGTCCAAAGTATTGTTTGCTACTATTGCACTATCATCTTCTATGACTGAGGCTTAGCAACTCCAGTAGAAGCTTTTATGCATATTGGTTGACTGGTTCATCTATAAAATCTATTTTTTGTTTCATTTTCATTGCAATGACTTTTCCTGATAATGCAAAACTCATAGATTCTAATTATATGTAATCTTCAAAGGACAAATTAATAATTTAACATTGACTATTTGTGTTTTAGTAGAATAAAGTACAGGCTTATGGAATTGTTGGGCTGGAGAAGTAAGATGGATAGTTTATTAGTATTAACTATTAACCCTTATGCAAAAGTAGAAAATGAAGTTCATGGAAAATCATGCTTCTCATAGGAAGAATATCTGAATGTGTGTTCAAATTGATATTAACCATCGTATATTGAATATTAATAAGTATTTCTTTTTACTTTGCACTGGTATTATTAAAAAATATATAATTTAAAAAAAATAAAATATTATTTACTTTCAATAGATCTTGATCATTGCTTGTTTTTGAATGTTTGATATTTAAAAAATCAAAAATTAAATTTTTGCTGCTTTTAAAACTATTAAAAGTATAATATTATGATTCAAAAAAATAAAAATATTAGTGTGATTTGATGTATTGAATGTCTAGCAACAAATTAAAGCTAAATCTATTTAGCAAGATAAATAGAGTTGTTAAATTTATAAGTGTATTTTAAAATTATATTAAATTGCCACAAAAGTAATGCAAATTAATAGGATTTACTAAATTAATGGTATTAAAATTTAATTTTTTAAAATTTTATAACTTAAGGGCCATTAAAACTGCTACAATTTATTTTTATTTTCATAAATTAATGGTGGTTACGTCACCGTCACAATAATATTCCCTACAATATGTTTATTATTTTCACATGTTAACGGTGGGTGTACTACTGTCACAATAATATTTAAAATAATTTTTTTAAACTTATGGCGATTGAAACTCCCACAAATATTTAAAATATTTTTCATAATTTAGCTGCAGTTTTAACTGCCACAACCTTTTTATATATTTTTTCTCAAACTTTAGTGGCGATTATGCCACTAATACCTCTTTCATTTTTTTTCTTGGTTCCTGGCGGATTATTTTTTACAAACTGCCACTAAAAATCACCACAATTTAATTTAGTGTTGCCAAATATTTTTAATAGCGGGTAAAACTATCGCTAAATAAAAAATTTAACTGCCACTAAATAACAAATTTTTTTTGTAGTGGTTGCTTGATAGTTTTGGAAATTACATTGCAAGAGCTAATGAGTGTTATAGGAACAATGATCTTGGATGCCAAATGTGGGATGTGCCCGCTTGTAGGCATGTGAATCAGACATTTGATATCATAGAAGCTAAAGTAAAATACGTTGATTATTTAAATGGTAGTGCTTATTCAGCTGTTAATTTTACCACTAGTGATTGTAAGGATGCTTGTCGGAGCGATTGTGATTGTGTTGGTTTCACCAGCCTCTTTGATAATGGAACGGGATGTTACTTTGTTTATGAAATACGGGACAACATTCAAAATGGCACTGATATCTTTCACAAGCTAAACGTAGAGACTAAACCCAACCTCCGAAAAATTTCATCGGATCAAAAAGGTAAGTCCCTCACATCTAATTAATAAGATATACAAATGCATTCCTAAGAGATAAAGAGATAAAAAGAGATGAGGGGATAAATGATAGATTTGATACGTACAATGAAAAATGAAAAGAGAAATATGTAAGCACAAATTTAATGGGATCCAATTACATGAATTTAGAATATCAATTGAAGAACAATTTGTAGAGTCACTTACTTGTTGTAGACATCGTTGATTGTGCGTGGACTTACATGGAATGCGATCCCTTTGTAGCGAGAAGCCAAGAACTTCCTTTGCCTAATCACGCTCTCCTAATCCTAAGTTCTCAATGGAGAAAACTTAGAAAGCTAGAGAGCAATGAAATGTGTTACCGTGACAGCAAAGGGGACTTAGCCACTATATTTATTAACCCTAGGCACTTCCCATTATGGGCCTTAGAGGTTAGGCCCACACTGAATTCTACTCTAGATCAACATTAATTGTCCAAGGCCCAAATAATTGATCACATTATTAGCGGCTTAAATATCATCAAATGGATCACAATATTAGCCTGTTTTTGACAAAATAAAAATCACAATTGATTATAACCCATAATAAATTTTATAAGAAATTTTAACATTCTCCTACTTAGGCAAAATCAATTGTGCAGTTCATAATTTTTGAAATTTTGAAAAAATGACTCTCAGGCTAATAACATGTTGTGGTCACAAACATATGATCCCAAGATATAACACTTAATTGAGACTTCATCCAACAAAATCATGCAATATCGAATAATGGCGACAATTGCATCCTTTATTGATGCAATTCCTTCCATAGTTACAAACACTACTGACTTCATCGACTAGTTATCTCTGTGGAGTGTGGTGAGAAAATGATATGTCAATGTGATCAAACAGTCATACTATCATTTTCTATATTAGTCCTTAATTTCTCTTAAATGCTTAAAAGCCAAAGAAATTATATATTTCATTATGAACTATTATGCCTCAGCTCCAACTGGCATTGACCACCGGCATAGTGGCCCCAACAACGCCAAGCTTAATAATTCACATTTGATACACACACACACACATATATATATATATATACATACATACATACATACATACATATATAAAAATATCTCATTACTCATTCATCAAATCAAATGCGAAATGTCACCAACAGAACATTTACGAAGGTCTAAAACAAGAATTCAATAAACGTAAAATGACATAAAACCAAAAAGAAACTTCCATTTAACCAACCACATCAAAAGAGCTCACAATGCCCATTTTTTCAACATGCCTTTTGAAAATAATAGGCCTAAGTCCCTTGGTCAAGGGGTCAGCCAACATGGAATCTGTGTCAATGTGCTCTATCACAATGGAACCATATTTCACAAGGTCTCTGATAGTCAAGTACTTCAAATCCAAATGCTTAGATCCACTAGAATTCTTGTTATTCTTTGTATAAAATACTGCAGCTCTGTTGTCACAAAAAATCTTTAGCGGTGCAACAATGGTATCAACAATACGAAGTCCTGTTACTAGATTTCTCAACCAAATAGCATGAGTAGTAGCTTCATAGCAAGCAATGAACTCTGCCTGCATGGTAAAAGAGGCAACGAGAGTTTGTTTCTTGCTCCTCCAGGATATTGCACCTCCAGCCATCATAAAAACATATCTTGAAGTCGATTTTCTGTCATCAGGGCACCCACCAAGATCTGAATTTGTGTATCCTACAATCTCAAGGTTGTCTACTTCTGTTGTATACAAGCATATACTCTTTTGTCTTCTTCAAGTATCTCATTACTTTCTTAGCAGCTATCCAGTAATCACTTCCAAGATTAGACTGATATCTACCTAAAACACCAACAATAAAAGCGATGTCAGGTCTAGTGCATACTTGAGCATACATGAGGCTTCCCAATGCACTTGCAAAAGGTCTGTCATTCATTTCTGCTTGCTCAATCTCATTTTTAGGACATTGATTTATGTTGAGCCTATCACCTTTAACAACTGGAACATCTCCTGGTTTGTAGTTCTGCATATTGAATCTCTCTAAGACTCTATTAATGTAAGCCTTTTGAGATAACCAAGTATACGTTGTGATCTATCTCTGTGAATCTCAATTCCCAACACAAAAGAAGCTTCACCCCAAATCCTTCATGTCAAAGAATCGGGTCAACATCTGTTTTGTCTCATGTAGCATTCCCAAATCATTACAAGCCAATATTTGGGAATGCTACATGAGACAAAACGGATGTTGACCCGATTCTTTGACATGAAGGATTTGGGTGAAATCAGCAGGTAGGCAATTTAAGGCATGTTCAACAATAAATTTTTCATTAAGGTCAATTTGGTGAGATTTCAGCTTAGTTTGAATGTGAACCATCTTCATAATGAACTCCCTTACTCCCCCAACATTGTCATATCTTATGTATGTTAACTGTTTCATCAGACATCCAGACTCAGCATTATCAGATACCTGGTACCTCTCTCCCAAAACAGTGAGAAACTCCTTAGTTGTACCTTTCTCCAGAAGACCACTCAAAAGGTGTTCAGAGACTGTTCTCTTGATAGCGATTAGGCTCAACCTGTCAGACCTCTCCCACTGAGCTAAACGCTCTTTTTGTTCAAGTGTGCTGTCTGCATTAATTGTGAGCTTACTTTCACGCAAGGCTAAGTCAAGATTAGCAATTCCCAAAGAGAAGTCTAAATCTTGTTTCCACTTACTATAATTTGACCCAGTTAGGATCTTAATGGATGCAGAACAATTATTCATAGAAAAATTCACTGATAAGATAAAACATTAACACATTAGATCATATCATAAGACAAGATATAAATCAAGATAAAAAAAATAAGCTATCAAAGTGAAGTCCATAAAACAGCATATTCTCATTTGGGTAAAATACACTAACAGAAGTGATTACTCAGGTCAATACCTTAGGTGGGTTAATCCATGAACACACACCAAGCTAAGAAAATTGTCCCCTTTAGGCAAACAAATCTCTCAACTTAATGCATTTTCCAATAACTCCATCCAAATTCAATTTTCAACCTATACACACAACTATCCCCTTGGGGAAAGCAATCACACGTAAAGATTAAAAACATTCCTCAAATTACAAAAAAAAAATTTATGAACTAATACAAATGATCCCACTTTGGTGGTAACGATTTATAGCAATCCATAAAATTCTTTACACATGAATCAATATTCTCTTGTCCAAGTTATGAAACAGACGAATGCATCAAAGTTGTTCTTATTTGTTGTTCTTTAATCATCAATTACATTCACAAAATGTTTATATTTAAACAATAACAATTAAAAATTAATGATAAATTTATAACAGTAAAAATTTGAATAATGAGTAATTGTAATCTCATTAATCATAATGCAAGTATATATGAGATAGAATATCTTACCAAACATAAATGATAACAATACTATTGAAATAAACATTTGGAATAAGCATTTGAATTGAAATAGCATGTATTAAAAATAAAAACAGCAAGCAAACGTAATATTCATATTGAAACAGCAAACAAACATAACTTACTCATATTAAAAGGTGTTGTTGCATTAAGTATTATGACGTCAAGCAATTGTTCAATACACTGGGAGCAATGTCAAGCAATTGAAATGAAAGTGTTGAAATATTAGACATTGGCGCAGCGATTGAAATAAAGACGCTAAAATATTAGATATTAAAATATTAATATTTTAACGGAAAAATAATAATGGCAGCGGAATATTAGATATTGAAACTATTGAATATTTTGACAGAAAAAATAATGATGGCAGCGGAATATTATTCAATGTGAATTTTAAATCCATTCGTTTCAACAAATAGATTAGGGGCGGTAACAATTTCAATTTTAGATTTAAAATCAAAATTGGTTTAAATTTAGGAATTGAACAAATAAACAATTAAAACATAACTGAATACAAGCATCGTTGACACATCAAACGCAAATGGGTAATATATTAACCACGCAAGTAATATTGAACTATTAAAACATCACACCAAAAGAAAACGATACATTACGCATGGTTTAATTCAAATTTAGATTAATTAAATGTTAATAATTGAATTTCAAATCATGTAATTCAGGCTCTGATAGCAAATGTAAGCACAAATTTAATGGGATCCAATTACATGAATATAGAATATTAATTGAAGAACAATTTGTAGAGTCATTTACTTGTTATAGACATCGTTGATTGTGTATGGAATTACGTGGAATGCAATCCCTTTGTAGCGAGAAGCCAAGAACTTCCTTTGCCTAATTACACTTTCCTAATCCTAATCCTAGGTTCTCAATGGGGCAAACCTAGAGAGCAATGGAATGTGTTACCGTGACGACAAAGGAGACTTAGCCACTATATTTATTAACCCTAAGCATTTCTCATCATGGGCTTAGAGATTAGGTCCACACTGAATTTCACTATAGATCAACATTAAGTGTCTAAGGTCCAAATAATTGATCACATTATTAGTGGGCTTAAATATTATCAAATGATCACAATATTAGCTTCTTTTTGACAAAATAAAAATCACAATTGATTATAGCTCATAATAAATTTTATAAGAAATTCTAACAAAATAGAGAGGAATGTAAGTTGGTGCAAGAAATAAGGTGTAAAATAATCTAAAACTGCAAAAATAATTATGCTAATTACTATGCATGCACAGCTCATAAAAATACGAGAAAAATTAATCATTTCATTTATGTGTATGAAAAAGATATATGAGTATTTGTAAAATTTGTACAGGTAACAGGAAGTTGAATTTAAAATGGAAGCTGATTATCGGTTGCATTATAGTCGCTTTATTTATAATATGTGGTTGCGTACTATGTATAGTGAGGAAAAGAAGAAAATTTACTCCTAAAGGTAACAGTAAGTACATGTATAATTTTTTACGTGTGTTAACCTTAGAATTTTTTATTTTTTTTATTTTTTGTTAGTAACTTTAAAATGTTAAAGTTCCTTTATGATATTCATACTTTAGTAAAGGAGAAAGATATAAGAACAGCGCACACGATTCATCACTTAATAAATTCTTACAAATTCGATGATTCTTTTGATAATCGAGACTCAACAAAGCATTAGCATGAATTGAGGTTATTTGATTATGCATCTATCATGGAAGCCACAAATGGATTCTCATCAATGAACAAGATAGGAAAAGGGGGATTTGGACCTGTTTATAAGGTGATCCTGAAAGTTTACTCTCTCTCTCTCTCTCTCTCTCTCTCTCTCTCTCTCTCTCTATATATATATATATATATATATATATATATATATATATATATATATATATATATATATATATATATTATTCAGTTACTCATATCCTTAAAAAATGTTTTTGATCCTTACTTCAGGGAATTCTGATGGGAAAGGAAGTTGCTATCAAGAGACTATCAAGGAGTTCCCAACAAGGAGTAGCAGAATTTAAAAATGAGTTGAAACTAGAATCTAAACTACAACACATAAATCTTGTGCAACTACTTGGTTGTTGTATCCATGAAGATGAGAGACTCTTAATTTATGAATACATGCCTGACAAAAGTTTGGACTTCTTTTTATTTGGTAAGAAACAAACATCTAGCTAAAACATTTACACCTTTTCTCCTAACTACATCTAATTATTCATTATTTCCAGTATTTCTCATCCACGATGGTTTTTTTTTTTTTTTTTTTTTAAGATTCTAGTCAAAGGAAGTTATTAGATTGGAAGAAACGTGTCAACATAATCGAAGGTATAGCTCAAGGATTACTTTATCTTCATAAATATTCAATATTGAGAATAGTGCACAGGGATTTGAAGGCAAGTAACATACTTCTTGATAAATACATGAATCCCAAGATTTCTGATTTTGGTATGGCAAGAATTTTCATGCAAGAATCAGAAGAAAAAACTACTAGGATAGTTGGTACACTGTGAGTATATACTTTAATATGATCGTGGCTTCATATTTTCCTTGTCTTTGTCATTTAAAAGTTATAAACTATTATTTTACTTTTGACTTTGTTTGAGAGTTTGGAAGAAAAGTATTTGAAGGGTAAGAGATGAGAGAAAAAAGAAAAAAAAAAAGGGTCTAACACAAAACTCTCAAATTGAGAAAACTTAAAAATAAGGTCTATAAACCTTTTCCCTCTCATCTAAAAACTCCTATATATGGATAACCATTATGCAAGCTTTCTCCTTTCCTCCCTTTTTCCCCAAAAACCAACTCTCAGCAAAAGCCTTCATGTTTCAAATGCTTCTGATTCCATTTAATTGGCGTGTAACTTTTAACGTTCTCTTAAGCAGTGGCTGCCTCCCGAGTACATCATGAATGATGTTTTCTCAAGAAAGTTCGACGTGTACGGTTTTGGAGTATTAATGCTTGAGATTGTGAGTGGTAGAAGAAATAATAGCTTTGACACTGCATCAAACCCAATTAACTTAGTGGGACATGTATGTTAGTTCTCTCTTTATTTATTTATCTATCTATATACACATGTATGTATATGCATCCACTTGTATTTTAAAAGGAGTATTTTAGTAAACTGTAACTACAATTTTCTTAAAATAAAACAAAAAATATTATAAGAGTATTTTAAACAACCTAAACTTTGAGTGTATTTTAAGAAAATTTATAACTTATTAATTATATACTCCTTTTGAAAAATAAGTAGGCATGTGTTAACAACTATTAGCACTAATATACACCCAATATATGTGAGCATACCCCTCTCTCTCTCTTTCCCTCTCCGTATACACACATAGAATCACTGTTTATTGACACTAGGTGTCAAACTTACATTATTTAGTAGAATATAAAATTAATTAATTTAATTGTTAAATTATCTTATATTATTTTTATGAGAGAGCATATTAAATTTTATATAATTTAAATATTTGTAAGTATATTATTCAAAATTTAATATTTACTTATATTATATATATATATTTTATTTCAACGTATTATATATATATATATATATATATATAATACGTTGAAATAAAATATTAAAATGAAGTACTTATTTATTTTATTTTTGTATAAAAATTATAAATTAATCTATTTGATAAAAAATTTCAAACTAATAGTTGAATTAATTAATGTCATATTTAATAAATAAATTATTAAATAGTATTCAAATTAGATTATTTATATATGTACTGTGTCTGTGTGCCTAACATTTGTTCCATAAAATGAATAGCTCAGGCTTGGGAGCTTTGGAAAAAGGACCAAGCTCTAAAACTATTGGATCCAACATTACATGATTCAGTTCTTCGTGATGAAGAGTTGAGATACGTTCATATCGGTCTACTTTGCACTGAAGAATGTCCAGTTGATCGGCCCACTATGGTCGAAGTTTTATCAATGTTAACAAATGCAAATGAAAAACTTCCTTTGCATAAAAGACCAGCGTTTTACTTTAGCGGAAGATCCGAAACAAATGAATATCAAAAGCATCTCAAAATTGATTCAACAAATGATATGTCCATCTCTGATCTCTCTGCAAGATAGACTACGTATGTAATCGAGGAATGATCATTTAGCTGTTCCCAGTGAAATATATGTAAAGTATAAGTGCTTCTTGTCGCAACCGGGCGATCGTAACGGTACGACGGATGACAAACTTGTTCCAAAATATCAGAGGAGTCGCCACCAAAGTTTATTTTTAAGAAAAACCTTGGAAAAACTTAAATATAATACGATCTTTGAAACCAAAAAATGAGTTCGGGAGTCATTTACGTGTAGGGAAGGTATTAGCAC